GCCTCTGGACGGACCTTGAATAGAAAAACGAGTTGCCTTCCTTTAACAGATCGCTTTCCAAGTGGAAATTTGTCAAAAAAAAAAAATGAATAAAATATTTCTTGAAGGGCGCCAAAAGAGAAAGATTTTTAGAGTTATACGCTTCCCTTTTTTGAAGTAGTTGAGTGAAGTTAGGTCATTGTTCTGGTAGAGCGGAGAAAATGGCGCAAGATTTTTCAGTTAGATCAGTGCACTAATTCCCTAATCTTAGAGTTTGTCTCAAACTATTGAAGTAAGTAATGCAGTTTCTTTGACTCAGTCGCAATATGTTTCTCTTTGCAGGGCCACCATTGAACCATTTTGGTAAAGACTGCGTTATTATTCCATTCGGAGATCATTTTAGGGTAAGTCACAGACGCAATATATGCATCTAAATTTCATTTCGGCACGTATCACACCCGAGCTCAACATCTGTAAGCATTGTCATCGAATCATCTACGTTGGTATGGATCTGTTTTGCAATCAGAGCGGCTGTATCATTTTGTAGCAGGTGTCGTGCGATAGTTCAGCGATGGCAAATAAATTTTCGAAGACGAGCAGCGTTGTAGGTGAAGGCGGAAGTTTCTGGATGGAAAGAATCCAATTTCTTGAACGCAGTCGAAACTGAAAGTGAAAACTTACCTCCTTTTAAAGGGTGTCAGAATCCTTCGGTTTTGTCGCAAATGAAACTTTCCATGCGAACTCGTGTGTTTTCTGGTGTGTGTTGAAATTGCAATCTCTGGTGGTGTATACTTTTGAGCCACACGGTTTCGAATGATTTTATGGCTGCAAATTACAAACGCAATCAGGCGAATAATAATAACTTAATTCAAGTGAGCTGTTTTCCTATGCTGATCTTGGAGAAGTTATTTTTAAAAACTGTTTCTCTTAGTCTATTTATCTTTGGTGACAAAGGGTTCTTTGTATTAAAACCCACCTTGGTGCTTAAGGAGAGTTGGCAATAATTTTGTGGTTTTAGACATTTAATTGCAGTGCAGTATATTCTTGGGATGGACAATCAAATCTATTTATCTTTGGTGACAAAGGGTTCTTTGTATTAAAACCCACCTTGTTGCTTAAGGAGAGTTGGCAATTTAGACATTTAATTGCAGTGCAGTATATTCTTGGGATGGACAATCAAACATTTGTAGATCAAGCAAAATTGTTATTTGCTCTGTTGAAAGGCAAACACTCAAAACCTTAGCTCTAGAAACTTTTTACCATTGCTAGTTTATATGATCAACTTGGTTGATGAAACCCAATGAACAACTAAACATAGTCAAATTCATTCCTAGAATTTGCTTCAGTTGGCAAATCAAGCAAAATTATGGAAACACAAATAATTGTAAAAATAATTCTAGTATTTCTTTAGCACTATTTGCACAGAAATGATAAACAGCACTTCACAATGATTCACCTCTAAAACTAATCTATAAAATCTTAGTATACCATATATAATATAAATGAGACTTACAATAAAAGAAAACAAATCTGTTTAAATAATATTCATAAACATTTAGATAAAATGAAATTTTTGTCTGAAATGGTTAAAGAAAAACTTGACCAAAAGGGTAGGTCTTAAGATTGCATTTAAAAATTGTCAATGATGGAATAGCACACAATTTAGCCGGAAAAACTATTCCACAAATATGGTGAAGCAGCATGAAATGATCTAGCATCAAGTGTAGAAGGCATTTTCTCCTTAGGTGGCATCAGTAACAAGGTACCATTGGATCTAAGATTATAAGAGGACTTTGGCCTAACACTAATTAAATCACTGATCCATGAATTGCCTTAAAAGCTAAGACTAGTATAAAAATATTAAATTGATCCAAAGAAGCTAAACGACTGCTATATGGTTAGTTTGATTACTAATATATATCAACCCTTTTACTCCCAGTAGTGATTAACATGTAACTTCTCCCTTTAATATCCATACATTATCCAGCAAACAGGTGATGAGAATACTCAAGCTTAAGAGGTAGAGTTTTTTTTTCTTGATCTAACACCAAATTCTCAAAACTAATTTATAAGGAAATGTATAGCAGCTAGAAAAGAGAATTGAAAGTCAGATCTTGGGAATTAAAGACTAAGCAAATTGAACAAAATGGAAATCATTTATTGGATTGTGTATGACTTAGTTTGGTTTTCAACCAAGGCCAACCAAGTCTTCTTCTGGGTTCTGGATCAATGAAATAATCAAACTCAACCAAATTTGAATCAAGATGAAAATAAAAGCAACTGAACAGTAATTTGCCTTTGTCTGCCATTTCTTTGGGCATAGTTTCAAACCCTTTAACTCCCATGAGTGATCACTGTGGCATTTTTACTTAAAAGATCAATACAATATTAAGCAGACAAGTGAGGAGAAAAATATGTCAGTCTAAGAATTATTGGCGACCAATACCAAATTCTTCAAACTAACATAATTGAGAATTGTATCTTGGGATTAAAAGGGTTAATTAATGATATTTTCTTAGTAATACGGTTTCTTTTATTTGTTTTGATAACTTTAACCAATGGAATTCTGATTGTTTCTTAGAAAGATATTGATTATAAATCTTGTTTACTAATATAATCAAAACAAGTTCATCTTTAATACAGTCACACATTGCACACTTCTGTAAAGCCAAGCAATCTCAAAGTAATTTACACTTGTCAACTGATGCTTTTTACCCTGAAACTTCCTAACCACCATCTCACAGTGGCTGACCAGCATCTTATCTTCGAAAAAAAATTTAAACATTTTTGAAAAAATGTGTGTAGCAGTATAACCTAACCGACAGAAAGACACTATAATCCTACAAACTCAACTACTTTATTACACAATGAGTAATACTGTTACCAAGAAGAGACTCCTAACAGCTCTATAGTACTTATCCTTGATAAACTTACTTAAGCCCACTACAGTTTATATTTTAGCTCACCACTGTCACTGCTGTCTCTAAAGTTCCTTAAAATAGGTAATTTTCCACTGTAACTCTCTCTCGGTATAGCTCTCAAAACAGTCATCGCTCTGACATCAACAACTAACACTACCACATACCTGAGTCTCTATATACATTCACAAAGTGTTCTGAAACATTCCAGAAGCTTACAAAAGAACTATTTTAGAAATATTATGTAATAACTAGGCAACTTGATGGAATATTCAAGAAAGTTCTGTGGTATGCATGTCAGCATGACCAAGCAGTCTGGAGATTTCAAAAAGCTTTTATTTACAACAACAATTACTCATAGCATGAAGACATGTTAAATTTACATGACAAATTCTGGTACAGGGGATACAAATCTCAAACCTAATGACTGACTGACCCTCTTCACCACATCCTTTAACTTTGAGATAGTGTCCCCACGGTGTAGCAGGTTCCGTGATGGTAGTCATGCCACCACAGTGGAGGTACCATGTTAGTATTCATGTCACCATGTTGTAGGTACCATTATCATAGTCATGTTATCACACTGTAGGTACCATGATGGTACTCATCTCACCACAGTGTGAGTACCACAATTTTAGTCATGTCATCACAGCACATCAGGTCCCATGATGGTAGTTATGTCACCACAGTGTAGGTACCATGTTAATAGTCATGTCAATAGTCATGTAACCATATTGTAGGGTACTATGTTAGTGGCCATGTCAACACAATGTAGGTACCACAAAGGTAGACAGGTCACCACAGTGTAGGTACCTCAATGATTACCATTGTAGTACCTACACTGTGGTGACTTGACGACCATCAAGGTACCTACACTGTGGTGACATGACTACCAGTATCTTCATTGTGGTGACATGAGTACTATTGTGGTACCTAATCAAGTCACCACAGTGTAGTTACCGTGATGATAGTAGTCATATTACCATAGTGTAGGTACTACAATGGTAGTCAAGACATTACAGTGTAGGTACCATGATGGTAGTTATATCACCACGATGTAGGTACCACAATGGTAGTCAAGTCACCCCGGTGTAGGTACCATGATGGAAGTGATATCACCATAGTGTAGATACCACAATGGTAGTCAAGTCACTACAGTGTAGGTACTCTGATGGTTGTCATATCACCATAGTGTAGGTACCTGAATGGTAGTGCGTTCATTGCAGTGTAGGTGCTATGATAAAGGTCATGTCACCAGAATGGAGGTAGCATAATGGAATTTCAGTCACCACTGAGTGGGTATGTTGGTGGTCTTCATGTCATCACAGTATAAATCCTTTGACAGCAGTCAGGTCACTTCAGTGTAAATCGCATGTTACTAGTCGTGCTACTACAGTATAGGTTCCACAGTGTAGGTACCATGATTGTAGTCACGTCACCACAGTGTACATCCCCTTCCAGCAGTCAGGTAACTACAGTGTTGGTCTGATGTTGGTAGTCATGCCACCACAGTATAGATGATGGTTGTAAAGTTACCACAGTGTAGATACCATGATAGATCATGTCACCACAGGGTAAATCCCAACCTGATCAACATGTCACCACAGTGTTGATCTGCTGGCTGTCATGTCACCATAGTGTAGGTAGCACAATTGTAGTCATGTCACCACATTGAAGGTACCATGTTAGTAGTCATGTTAGCATAGTGTAGATACAACAATGGTAGTCATGTCACCACAGTGTAGGTAACATGATGGTAGTCGTGTCACCACAATGTAGGTACCACAATGGTAGTCATGCCACCACAGTAAAGATTCTGTGATGGTAATAATGTCTTAACCATGTAGGTACCATGATTGTGGTCATGTCACCACAGTGTACATCCCATGCCAGCAGTCAGGTAACTACAGGGTTGGTCCCATGTTGGTAGTCATGCCACCACAGTATAGGTTCCATGGTGATAGTAAAGTTACCACGGTGTAGGTACCATGATGGTGGTCAGGTCACCACAGGGTAGATCGAAACCTGGTAGTCGTGCTACCACCGTGAAGGTCTGCTGGCAGTCATATCATCTCAGTGTAGGTCCCATGCTGGTAGTCTAGTCACCTTAGTGTTGGTCCTGTTCTGACGGTTATGTCACCATGGTGTGGGTCCCGTGTTCGTCATATCACCGCAGTGAAGGTACCACAATGGCGCTCATGTCACCACCACAGTGTAGTTACCAAGATGGTAGTCATATCACTGCAGTGTAGATCCCAAGCTGGTAGTCATGTCACCATTGTAGTTCCATGCTAATTGTCATGTCACAACAGAAAGGTCCATACTGGTAGTTATGTATCCACAGTATACATCCATATTGGTAGTTACGTCACCGCAGTATTGATAAACTTATTTCCATCTGAATGTGGAAGTTAAGCACTGTAACCTTAAAAGAATGGGTGATTTAAAGGTTACTGTTTAGATTTAAGTTGTTGTTGGATTTTTCCAGAGCTCTATTACTTTGTGGTCAAAGGTGGGGCGCTTGTATTGGTGCTGATGATATAATGAGTCAAGACGTAATTTGTGACCAGAGCTGATAGATAATAATGATATTCTGATCAAGTTGATGTTATTGATGGTCGTTACATTCTTGATTTTGTGGTTAACTGGCTCTGTACCACCCGCATTACACACCATCTGCCTACCTTCCAGCCTGGCTGCCAAGCTGTTTGCCTACTTGTTTGTTCGCCTGCTTGTTTGTTCGCCTGCCTGCTCATCTGCTCGCAAGTCCTCTTTTGTACTCGAAAGGAAAGGCAACATTTGCCATTTGTGTTTTATCTCCAATGCTTTTGTGTGTAGTCTGTTATGAGTGAACTGTAATATAACTTATCATACTTGTTTTGAGATCAAGAACATCTCATCTATTAAAGGCTCTCTCAAAACCCCCAAAACTAGTTCGTTTCTTTCTACTTTAGTTCATAGATTATCTAGTGTAAACTGTTTAAAGCTATTTATAGTCATGATGTAAGGTACTGGGTCATATTCATACATACCTACCTACCTACCTTCCTGCCTGGCTGACTGGCTGTCTGCTGTGAAATCTTCAAACACGCTCGAGAGGTGAAGAAATATTTGTCGTGAATTGCTTTTTTTTTAACATTCCGATCATGTTTTGTCACTGGTACTTTTGCTCGCAGTTTGCTCGGGTTGAACTGGATTATAGCTATTCATGATTGTATTGAGATCATACTTATTCGATTTACAGTTCCATAAAAACCCAAAACTAGTTATTGCATTCTAGTTTTGTTTATAGTTTGCATTATGTTAATTGGAAGACAAATATTGACAGGTTGTTATGAGATCATTTAAGTCCTTTCAAAATGTCCAAATATAGGCCCTTCCTTGATGAAAGGGGCTTCAAAAGATAAGACACCCATGATGATAACCAACGTTTTACATTCTGATTCGTTAGATCTCAAAAACTCTATTTTAAGAGTGTTGTTTACTAATTTTTCCTAAAATTAATTTTCATGCTCGACAGAAACTTTCTTGGTGAGGTTATTTTCATGGCTGCCGCCTCCTCGTCATTTGCCTCATCAAAAGAGACGACCAACTATGCCAGGCTGTGTCGTCTTCTGGTGGATGTTGGATCTCAGGTACTGCGATCCACTTTTGATAAAATACATCCACCAGCCACTCTACACACAGTTTTGGGAAGTACCTCTGTGCACTACCCTATATTGCAATCACTGTACAGAGGGAAGAAGAAAGTGCTGAATCCTACTCAATGGGGGAAGCTTTATCCCGCTCATTCGCCCGTGTCATCCGCAACCTTTGACATTACCCTCCTAACAGTGCTGCTTAGAAATATCTGTGGTTTGAGCCCTCCTGCCACTGGTTGGGACCATCTTCCCCCAGCTGCTAACACAAGTATTGCAGATGATATCGCCAGAGTGAAGTATTACAGGAACACTGTGTACGGCCATACCTCTCAAGCTGCTGTAGATGACATTAGCTTCAGTGCTTATTGGCAGGAGATACGAGAAGCTTTGGTGAGACTGGGAGGAACTCATTTTCGAGCAGATATCAACAGTCTTGAGCACGACTGCATGGATCCGGATATCGAAGAGCATTATCGTGAGCTGATGAAGCAGTGGAAGAAAGACGACGATAGCATTAAGAACAAACTTGAAGAGATGGAAGGTAAGAAGACTTTTTTTCAATGTCATGTAGAAGTAGCAGGGCTCCAACTTGTGCACTGTTTAATTTCGACAAGAACAGCAGCTTGTGAAAAAGCCGTCAAGTAATCGTTGACGAATTTATCGTTGTTTTGTATCTTAAAAAAACAACTACGGTTTCTACAGATGGATTAAGTTATTTATTCTTTTTTGATTTTCAGCGAACATTAAAGATTCTGTACAGGAGATCGTGAGAGACACAACCGGGAAGATAGAGAGTGAAATTAAAGAGGTGAAAGACCAGCTTGCTTCCCTAACGACATCAGTAGAGAAGAGCACAGGAGCAGGTCAGTTGTTGGAGACAGAGAAAAAAAATGGCCATAATATGCATTTCTTCACAAGCTCCTTGGGCTGAAGTTGTAGTTGTCGTTTAGGCCTGGAGTTTGGCCTTGGTGGATTAAGTCCACGCAATGTTAAGAGCATGAGTAAAAGACTCGGGCTGTGCACGGGAGCGACCACCTTGGCGTATTAAGTCAAATAATTGTTTCGTAGCTGGAAAGGCAAATCTTAATGTGAGCTTTTCTTTCAAATATTATCCTCGTTAGCTCCTATTTTGTTACAAATTGTGAGTAAAATCATTTGCATTTTTGTTCTCTTACTGCGCTTAGCAAAACAACATCTAAACGAGCCTATATGAATTTACATTTTACAGACACAATCGGGAAGATCGAGATTGAAATGAAAGAGATGAGAGAAAAGCTTGGTTTTCTTACCGCTTCGGTAGAAAAAGGCACAGCAGAAGGTCAGTTGCTGGGAACAGTGAAACAAATCAGGCCAGAACTGGCACTCCCTCATATTCTCATTGGGCTGAATCAATGTTGCATGATTGTAAGGTTTTACTTGAGCAAACTAGTGTTATTTCAAACATGTTTTGATCGTTAACTGATAAGCGTTAACTATGGTTGCTACTCGTTAGAAAGTAAAGAAAAAACAAGAAGTAATACTATTGCAACTTCTCATCAATGAGCAACCAAAAAATCTTATTTATCTTACTCTGGTCTCTTCACTGACTTTTTACGTTCCCTGACAGGATACATACATGTCTCTGAAATTTAGGACGAAGAAGGTCATTGTCTTATTTCATAGATGTTTTTATTTAGGGGTACAATAATCTCCTCTACCTTGAATGTAATTAAATGTTATAAATTTGGAGTACACATTGTTAAATAGCGACCAGGAAAGGCCTTTCTTTGATTTAAGAAAATTTGAAATCCTCCAGAGCCTGGCAGTGTAGAAAATTAAGTTGTGGTAAAATAACCGAACGGGAATCAATTTCAACTTTCCGTAGCTGAAAACGGATTTTATATTTCCCTAGTGAATGGCTGAAGACAAAGCTCAATGATATTGAAGCCGGACTCATCGAATGATTTTCGTGTAGCATTGTACAGAAGCAAAAACAGGGGAAAGAAACCAGAATGACATCATTCAGTTTCAGCTATTCCTCTAACTTAGCCTCTCTCGATGCTTAAGTTTTTACCGGCCTGGGAATAGTAAATTTTAATGATTATGATTTTGAGAGAGCACGAAATTTGCACTGGCGCAGA